GTATTGCTACCCTGTGTTATTGAAACAGATTGGTATTTCTACCCTGTGTTATTTAAACAGATTGGTATTGCTACCCTGTGTAGAAGAGTTTAAGGAATCTTGTTAAATTGACAAATTGTACACCAATACAGTGTTTACGTAGACACACACACACACAAAATGGAGGCATTACTTTTTGACAGTCCCATAACTTTTTTTTATTTGTTGGGGTTCAGATTGTTTTAGAAGTATTTCTCTTTTGTTTTGTTTATTGGAAGGGAAAGTTCATGTCAAAAGTTATGCATTTTATTTTGTAAAAACATGTATAAATACATTTTTAATGTTGTCTGATCTGGCTGGTTGGCAAGTCAGACTTGTACTGTAATCTGTCATGATCTGCTATATGCAGTCTTTGCACTATAAGGTTATGTTATCACAATCAACGTCATTGAACATTGGGCATTCCCATGTGTGCTCAGTCCTCCGATGCAGCAGCCACTCCAAAGTACTTCTACTATATGTTCCCATGAGAAGCTGGTTATTTTGTCTCCTGTCTCGGCCTCTAAGACGGCATAGACGTGCTTCACCATTCTTTACTCCCATTTCACGCAATCGTTTCAGTGTCAGGGATTCCTCATTATCCACTAGCCCAGTCCATACAGCATTGACAATATCTGCTCTGTCCATGCTTTTTCCCCACAATCCTTAGTGCAGTGCTTGCCAGTTGGTCCATTAGCTCATTTCCCTTCACGCCCGCACGACCTGGTGTGTAGATCCAGGTGAGGGAGGTTAAGTGCAATTTTCGAATGCTTTCTACCCATTCAGAGCGCATACCCCCTGTTATCTTCTAAAGCATATTCATGGAGTCTGATACAATAACTGCACTGTAATTCTTTCTTTGTGCAGTAATTATTCATGGCCTCCTTTAATACAGCCAGTGCATTCTAGTTCTGTGTGTATTGTCTTACCACTTGCAGTTATTGCATTGTCATACTTCTTGTGGTATTCTCTGTTTGCTATCATTCCTCCAGACATCTATTTGAACACATGATCCGATGAGCAAGACATACATTTCATTTTTTGATTTTAATGCAAATTGTTTTTTAAAGATTTTTTATTTTCCTTTGCTCTTGTTTTCTCATTTTTAATACTGAAAAGAATGTCATATATTATACGCTAATCCTTCCATAACAAAGAAATAAAAGAACCATATTTTGTATTGTTTATGTTTTTGTGTTTGAATTCTGAATATATTGACCTAGATTGCTTACTCCTTGTAAACATTTCAGGGCTCCAGTGAAAAGGGGGAGGGGGGGGGGGGGGGGTGGTGTATAGAACAGACTGCCGTGCCCCTCATCAAGGTGGAGGGGTGTAGAGAAGAGACTGCCTGTTCTATATCAAGCATGTCATTCAAGGCAGCTAATGACCAGTTTGCTGAAATCGGATGTGTTTGGCCCAAGGGGGAGGATATAAACGGAGACAAAAAATATTGTAGTTATACTACTACTACTCCATTGTTTGTCCAGTGACATAATTGTGAAGTGCAGTTTACAGCATACTGGTGCAGGATGAGGATGTGTGGCAGAAGTGTTGCATGAGATTCTGTGAAACAGCACACAGCCTGCTGGCGCCTGAAGTCAGGTGTGGGGTATCCCCTTTTAGACAGAACAATGGCCTTAACATTCATGCCTGTGATTGAAACCACAACAGCAGTAGCTATACTATTGTTAGCTTTTGTCAGCATCTTATTCAGTTGCAGTGTTTTTTCCTTACCTCATCATGTAAAGACGGAGAGAGAACATAAAATACAGAGATGAATCCTATAAGAAGTACAGGGGTCAATGTTGGAGGAATAAAGACGTACTGCCCCTTAGCAAAAACACACACATGAAAAAAATTATTTGCATATCCTGTACAGGACTTTGCAGAACCAACCCCAACATTTTTTGGCTGTTATGGTTTCTTTGAGGCAAAATGTTACGTCCACAGCCGGGATCGAACCCGGTATTACAAAGCAGGTTTGCAATTATTAAGCCACATATGAACAGTTAGTTGCGTATCCTTTACAGGACGTTGCAGCACCAGCCCCAGCATTTTTTGGCTGTTGTGGTTTTCCTAGGCAAGTTTACGTCCAGTAGTTTGCCATTGCTTTCTGGACGGTTGGCTTCTCGATACCACTGTAAAAACCAGCGCAAGGTCTGCAGCTGGGATCGAACCTGGCTCCCCGACATTACAAAGTGTGTTTGTAATGCCTAAGCCACAGACGCCGACACACATGAACAAGCATGTCATAAAAGGCTGATTTGCTGAAACTGAATGTGATGGGGTAAAACAGTGTGCCAGCCGGCCTTTTGAGGATGACTGCAGAAGTAGTATAGGGAGAGCATGAAAGGAACTGCAAGAGGGCAGAGGATAAGAAAGCTTGGCAAACATAAACTGGGGTTTCTGATTCATTATAGTGGATAGACAGGCTTACTGTTTTTAGTTGTGACAATTTAACTGGTCCTGACTAAGGTTAACCATTGTATTTTCTTCCCATATGTGGACTGAAAGTATACAGTTTCGTCACCCAGCTACTGAGTTAAATGCACAGCGCTGTGAACTTGTGCAGATTGAATTTGGAATGCCTTTCAACTACGCCCAACGTAGTTTGTGTTGTGAACAGCAGTTTCAGAAATCGGGGAGTGGCCTGTTGCTACAGAACTGGTGGTGCCTTAATGCGAATAACTGTGCATGCAACAACTTCTTCTTCTTCTTTCGTTCGCATGAAATAAATTGTCTATATCTGCAAAGCCGTCTCTTGTATGAATTTCACTGTCTTTTGTAATTCACTAAGCGGCCCGTAAAGTTTGACTTCCACAAGTGTCTCTTTTGGCCAAATGTTTTGCCTGAAAGCGTTGAATATGGGACAGTCTTGATGTGATCTGTCTGTTGTTTCAGGTGCCAGTCCACAAGTACACATGGCTGATTGGCCAATCTTAAATTTGTTGTACATGTGGGAGCGAAGTCTATTGTGCCTTGTTCTAAGGCGAAGGATAATAACTTGCTCTGGTCTGTCCATAATATGGTAATCATCTTGTGCCAGTTTCGGTGGCATTCTGATTGATTTGATGCATGCAACAACTGATCTGTTGTTGTTGCTGCTTAGACAGACTGTTTTACTGGCACCTCTGATAAGCTGCCTTATGCATTTAAAGCGTGTATGTTATTGGCTTTGTCAAGACTGCAGTCTGTCATTTTTTCCACAAGGGGCAGTACTGGGGATTGATTGTGGTTTTTTGCTGGCATGGGTGTAGAGAAACAGTGTGGCGACTGAAGTCACTATGATGGGTATAGAGCAACAGTGTGGGGACTGAGTCACTGTGATGGGTATAAAGCAACAGTGTGGCGACTCGGTCACTGTCATGGGTATAGAGCAACAGTGTGGCGACTCAGTCACTGTCATGGGTATAGAGCAACAGTGTGGCGACTCAGTCACTGTCATGGGTATAGAGCAACAGTGTGGCGACTCGGTCACTGTCATGGGTATAGAGCAACAGTGTGGTGACTTGGTCACTGTCACGGGTATAGAATAACAGTGTGGCGACTTGGTCACTGTCCAGTTGGAACTGCGGTTACCTGATTACAAATTGTCACAGAAGAGCAACAATAAAAGTTACACCTGTACTTCACAAGGGCAAACTAACAATAAGTGCAAACATGAGAAACTATACCTCAGACATGAGAAACTATATCTCAGACATGACAAACTATACCTCAGACATGAGAAACTGTATGTCAGACATTCTAAACTATATCTGACATAAGAACCTGTACCTCAAACATAAGAAATTGTACCTCAAACAGGAGAAACTATACCTCAGACATGAGAAACTATACCTTAGATGTGAGAAATTATGCCTCTGATGTGAGAAACTATTCCTCAAACATGAGAAACAATGCTTTAACTATACCTTGGTCATCAGAAACTACCTTAAACATCAGAAACTATATCTCACTCATGAGAAACTATACCTCACATATGAGAAACTTTAGCTCAAACAAAATATTTACACACAAAGACACAATTTTTTTTTTCCGTACACGGTCATCAAAGGAAGACCCCCACACTGTGTTGTGGTTTAAAACTAAGCTGTGATATCCATGATTTTCAGGAAACATCTGATCTCAAATTCAAAATTTGTTGCTTTTATTAAATCTTTATTAAGGGGAGTAGGTCACCCTTCCCCTCCCCCCCCCTCCCCCATCCTTTCCCACAAAATGGGGCCCCAGAACCCACACAGGGAACAATAAATAGGAACACAGTCAAATAAGTGTCTTACCCACACAATACTGCAGGTGACACCAGGCCAGTGTAGCCAGTTGTTAGAGATACCCTAATTACGACTTCTGTAGAGGTTGAACAAGGTATCTGAGGTCTGCCATCCAGACTGAGATGTTTTCAGTCTTGGTGTGGTAATCCTTCAGAGAGTATCCAAGAGGAAACAAAATGATTGACTGATCAATCGATTGAGTGAATAAGGTAAGACAATTACATGCTGTTTTTGAGCAATAAATAATCAAGTACATAAAACTTCCTCACAAAGATATGTGCCTATACACGGCCATCAGAACATTCCTTGTCAATATGGAGAAGACATGAAGAAACTGCAAGAATCCAAAAAGTATATGAGGGCTTGATGTGAAATATTTAACTACTTCTTCTTTGCGTTCACTGGCTGTAAACTCCAGCGGAAAGTTCTAGTGGATTTTGCCTTGTTCCAGAACTTTATTTTTTGTGTGCAAATTCGTTTGACTGATCTGGTTCATGTGAACGCAAACTTGGTTGCTCACATCTCAGGCAGATGCACTTCGACTTTGAAGAAAAGAACTCTAATTCATAAACTTTTATGACATGCTTGCTGGGGCAATGGATCTAATCCTTTTACCACCCACAGGGAGAAATATTTATCAGCTTGTACTCCATCTGAGGATCAAAATAGAAGCAGCAGCTTTGTTTTTGTGTGCGTGTGATTGTGCTTTCAGATGCCACAACCAGGAAGCAGGACCACCATTACTGTCAGGTTATTTTTTGCACCAGCCAAGATGGCTGCCTGAGTCAAATGTTCAGCCATTGCCCGAGATAACTCCTTCCTCTTGTCTGCTCTTGTTGCATGAACTGAGTCTGTGATGTCAGGACTGGCTGAAGTCATGTTCGGTTCCTCAGATGGTTCAGCATTTTCACAGCTGTTGAGATTTCCTGGTAGAAGATTATTACAACTGCAGATTATAACAATTACAATTTTACAAGTAACTGTTAAACGATTTCTTTTTTAAACAGTGGTGCAGTCGCTAGTGTGTGAGCTTACTGTGGCGATAGCTTTGAAGGCATTGCCATGGAACAATGTTGCTTCAAAATATACAATATGATTAAAAAGGTCATATGGCAGAAACTGTTTATGGGTATCAAGTGGCAGGTCTACAGTTAAGTTAGATCAGTTGTTAAGAAATTAGGGAAGAAGCTGCCGTCTTCACAACTGCTTAATTCTTTCTTGGAAGAGAGAGGGAGGTTGACAAACTGTGCAACTTTTCCTCACTTAAATCAAAATTACAGCGCAAGTCATCCTTTCATCCATCTAAAACAAACACACACACACACACACACATAATTCTTAAACATTGTTGACCATTAGTTTTTAAGGCCGAGTGCACCTTACTGCATTTACTATTTAGGAATATTCCTGTGGCTTCTAAGGACTGAATCTGACACCAGTGAATGGGTAAGAGAGTGCACTGACCACTATGACACCGCGGCCTGACTATTTAAACAATTTTATTTGAAATAGTTGTATGTTAATCATGCAAAAGTATTACTGTAAATGGGCTGTGGCTGTGTTTCACCAGTCTGAATATTACTGCTAATCAATTAGAAAACTTCTGTCCATCTGCGTTCCAGCTCTCCAAATATGGGGAAGGGGGGGGGGGGGGGAACAAACCCACTGCCTCTTAAACCAGTAGGTTGTAAAAGGTGACTACCTACTTGCTGAAATAGGATGTTCTTGTCCAAAATATGCAGATATCCTAGTCTAGCTGTAAACAACAATACAATGTATCTAGCATGTAGTGGTTATGGAATAAGAAAAACATATTTAAAAAACAAAAGGAAAGTATTGTCAAGATTGTAAGATTTTGCTTGAGAATAGCCAAGAGTACCTTAAGTGGAAGCCTGTTTGCAACCCAGAAATTTTATAAATGCATATTGTAAACATGCACATCTGGTTTTTAAAATACTTTTTTACTTTCTGCATCATTAAACAAATATATATAATGTAGTCATCAGTTGTCCATTTATAATGAAGCCAATATAAGCATAAACATTTTGAGAGCATGCACGTTTGCTGTGACAACCGGTTGATGTGAGTTATAAACCAGGTTGCTGTGACAACCGGTTGATGTGAGTTATAAACCAGGTTGCTGTGACAACCAGCTGATGTGTTATAAACCAGGTTGCTGTGACAACCGGTTGATGTGAGTTATAAACCAGGTTGCTGTGACAACCAGCTGATGTGAGTTATAAACCAGGTTGCTGTGACAACCGGTTGATGTGAGTTATAAAGCAGGTTGCTGTGACAACCAGCTGATTTGAGCTATAAATAAACCAGGTTGCTGTGACAACTGGTTGATGTGAGTTATAAACCAGGTTGCTGTGACAACTGGTTGATGTGAGTTATAAACCAGGTTGCTGTGACAACTGGTTGATGTGAGTTATAAACCAGGTTGCTGTGACAACTGGTTGATGTGAGTTATAAACCAGTTTGCATTCACTAAAGATGCTGAGGAGCTGATTTCCTAAAATTTAGGAACAGTTCTTAGAGTGCCACAGATCAAAATGCAGGGGAAAAACTACATTCTACGAGATGTGAATATTGAAGAAAATTGGCTCATAAACAGCATCATGTACTGGAAACTGAAATACTTTGACACTACTCAGCACTACAGTGGTTTAGACAGAACAGTAATGGAGGGCGGGGGTTCGGAACAAAGAACTGGGCTGGCCACCATGAAGGTAACATTAAAATGCAGGGGGCAAGGGAACTGGTTGGCCAGATACAATCTCAAACACTCAACTACTTCAAACCACAAACCAAGAAACTTTAGACAGTATGATTACCAAGAGAAGATGGAAATGGCTTGGCCACGTTATGAGAATGACTTCTGATATACCTGCCAAAACAGCTCTCACATGGACACCAGAGGTAAAGAGAAAACGGGGGCGCCCAAAAACAACATGTAGATGAACGATGGAAAGTGACCTGAGTGCGGCATCTTTGACATGGAAAACTGCACTGAAGATTGCACAGGACAGAAAAGCATGGAAAGTCCTCTCTGAAGCCTTGTGTGCCACTAGGCATAACGAGAACTGGTGACTGATGAAGGGAACTGGTAAGTGACCAAATGTTTTACAGATGGGCCATAATGGGAACCTGCTACCAGACAATGAGTCTCTCTTTGGTGGTGTTTTCTTGTCTTAGGATGTGTCTATTCATGATGGCCTTCACCACTTTATTACTTTAAACAGTTACCTTGTTAAACCCCTTTCTTTCAAGAACATGTAAAGACAAAAGCGACCACCAGAACTGGTGTTTTTTGTGTGTGTCAAATTTACGTAAATAAATAAATTGTCCACTGTCTGTACTTACTAAAATTCAGATGTGGATCTCCGGTAGAATTTGGCATCTGAAGTTGCATCTGGTCTTTCTGTAATACTAAATTTGGTTCAGATTTCACATAACTGGCAATACCCATGTAAGACTGGTGGCTTTGCTCTGCAAAGATCTGGTCACTGGTTGCAGGAGTGTTCCTGGCATCATGTTGCTCTGCAAAGATCTGGTCACTGGTTGTAGGAGTGTTCCTGGCATCATGTTGCTCTGCAAAGATCTGGTCACTGGTTGCAGGAGTGTTCCTGGCATCATGTTGCTCTGCAAAGATCTGGTCACGGGTTGCAGGAGTGTTCCTGGCATCATGTTGCCCAGGAAACTGTGGACCAATGGTTACATCGCCACTTTCTGGTTCTTGTTGCCCATGCAGCAGTGGCCACAGTAACTGACTAATCTCTCTTGGTGGAGGTATCTGCTGGTCTGGCAGCATCTGTGATAGGCAAAGTTGCATTTGAGGGTCAGCTTCAAAACTCATGAACAGCATACACTGATTTGAGAAATTTGATATAATTGTCAAGATCTGGCGCTGTTCACATTCCCAGGCCCAGGATTAGAGTAACTTCCTTTGCCATTCATGCCTCCTTAGGTCGCTGGACCTCTCCTATGTTGCCCGGGGGAGGGGGGGGGGTGTCATGTTTTCCTTATTGTGAATAGTTTAACCATTGCCTCTTTGCTCGTTTTCTCACAGATTGCTTGCACGATTATTTTCACATTCTGCTACATGCGTGACAGTTTAGAGGAATGGAAACAACAATATTTTTCTATTCCTATGCTTCTTGTAACTGCTTTCTTTCTCTCAGGGGAAAGCTGCCGTCAAAGGACGTAGAAATACAAAAACATCCCAGTTCTGATAGCCAAAAACTGTTGCTCCTGCGGCGTTTCTCCCTACAGTACTTCTTACTTGTACACAGGTGCCTCCGGCGCCTGAAATAGGCTCACAACAACACAACCTTCCACAAACATTACATACGCCAAGCGATGGCCAAACCAAGCCACATCATAACACCCCCGCAACATAGGAGAGATCCAGGGACTTATGGAGGCATGAATGGCAAGTGAAGTTACTCTAATCCTGGGCTTGGAAACGTGAACAGGACCTAAGAGTTTTGGGGGATGTTATGGAAAAAAATTGCTTGAAAATTGTATGTCAAGCATGAACATGTTACTGTTAGAAAATTTCATGTGGTTATTGGGACATGCTATTCAACTGACATGAATGAACTGTCATATGAAAAGTTACATTTAACCATTTCAACCAACTAAAAACATAATGTAATCTAACATGTTTGAAAAGTTGAAAAGCAATATTTGCTCATTCTTTTGTGTTTGCCCTTAAAAGCACGGTTGACATGTTGTGGTTTATGGCTAGGCTGTGATGTCAACGCCTTTCAGCCCAAACATGTGATTTCAGTAAACTTCTAATTAGTCTCCTTTTAGAAAAGCCTGTTGGGGGCAGTTTGTCTCTACTTTTCCACCAAAATTGGGCTCCAGAAAACCAAGGAGGATAACAGTTTAAACATCTGAGATCTGCAAAAGCTGATGTGGTACTAACAGATCAATAGTTATGATATCATAGAGCAGGTTCTATGCAGAATGTGGCACCCATCATTGGCAACCAGTGGTAGACAGAGTTGCAAAGTGGAAAATATTCTGAAGAGCCGAATGTTCAGGTAAGAGAGAGTGTTAGAAATCCTCTACAGTAAACTGTCATTGCCACTGAAGAGGTGCTACCTGATTGATTGACTAACTGTACAATTGTTCACCTGTAGTAACAAGCAGGTCACTTCCTCATCTGACAGGACTTCCCACAATCCACCAGATGCCAGAATTAGAAACTGTGAATGTTGATATATGGGAACTGAGGTCACATAGGGGTCGACAATGACACAGTCCTTCAGCCTTTTGTCTCCATGGTTACCGAGGCCTCTTGTGACTGGCAGCACTCCACAGACCAGACTGTCTCTGTCACTACTGCTGAAGGTGCCCCCTGGTGGAGGACAAGTAGAGCATGTCACAGACAAAATAACAGATGTCAATGACACCTGGATATGGTTCTTCTTCTTCTTGTGATTTACTTCAACAGACACATTCTTGTGATCACTCTCTGATTTACACAGACAGACAAGTTCTTGTGATCACTCTCTGATTTACTCCGACAGACAAGTTCTTGTGATCACTCTCTGATTTACTTCAACAGACAAATTCTTGTGATCACTCTCTGATTTACACAGACAGACAAGTTCTTGTGATCACTCTCTGATTTACTCCGACAGACAAGTTCTTGTGATCACTCTCTGATTTACTTCAACAGACAAATTCTTGTGATCACTCTCTGATTTACACAGACAGATAAGTTCTTGTGATCACTCTCTGATTTACACAGACAGACAAGTTCTTGTGATCACTCTCTGATTTACTCCGACAGACAAGTTCTTGTGATCACTCTCTGATTTACTTCAACAGACAAATTCTTGTGATCACTCTCTGATTTACACAGACAGACAAGTTCTTGTGATCACTATCTGATTTACACAGACAGACAAATTCTTGTGATCACTCTCTGATTTACTCCGACAGACAAGTTCTTGTGATCACTCTCTGATTTACTCCAACAGACAAGTTCTTGTGATCACTCTCTGATTTACTCCGACAGACAAGTTCTTGTGATCACTCTCTGATTTACTACGACAGACAAGTTCTTGTGATCACTCTCTGATTTACTCCGACAGACAGGTTCATGTGATCACTCTCTGATTTACTCCAACAGACAAGTTCATGTGATCACTCTCTGATTTACTCCGACAGACAAATTCTTGTGATCACTCTCTGATTTACTTCAACAGACAAGTTCTTGTGATCACTCTCTGATTTACTTCAACAGACAAATTCTTGTGATCACTCTCTGATTTACACAGACAGACAAGTTCTTGTGATCACTCTCTGATTACTCTGACAGACATGTGATCACTCTCTGATTTGCACAGACAGACAAGTTCATATGATCACTCTCTGATTTACACAGACGGACAAGTTTCATGTGATCACTCTCTGATTTGCACAGACAGACATGTGATCACTCTCTGATTTGCACAGACAGACATGTGATCACTCTCTGATTTGCACAGACCGACAAGTTCATGTGATCACTCTCTGATTTGCACAGACAGACAAGTTCATGTGATCACTCTCTGATTTGCACAGACAGACATGTGATCACTCTCTGATTTGCACAGACAGACATGTGATCACTCTCTGATTTGCACAGACAGACATGTGATCACTCTCTGATTTACACAGACCGACAAGGTTTTATGATAAACTCAACAGTTTTTAGGAGTTCCCTGTTAGTTGCATACACATTTGAGTGCAGTGTTGACTCACAGCTCCAGTATTCCCTTCTTAATGAAGAATATGTTCTTTTGGGTAGGCTTGTGTTTGTTGTTGTTGGCACTAATGTATTAATAAACTATAATGTGTTACTGGCAGTACTTTGCTAGCTGGCATATTGTGTTGCGGTTTACAGCTAGACTGTAATTTATGTAACTCTCAACCCAACACATCCAATTTTAGCAGATCTCTTTTCAGCAGTCTTTAATTACAGGCTTGTTAGCAGTGAGTCTACCCATCCCCCTCCCTCCCTCCAAGGCACACAAACCCACACGAGAACCCACGAGCCCACACAGGAACTCTACTGACTAAATCATTTACCTATCATTTGGTGCAAGTCAAATCTGCTCACAGTTGACATGCTAATAAGTATTTTTTCAACTTTCTGTTCATTTGGTGCCAGCCAGACAATTTTCTTCTTGTTCACCAGCTGCAAACTGCAGTGCAAAATCCTTATTGCTTGTAGACTTTGGTCTTGTTTCAGAACTTGTGCTTTTGCTAGCACGTCCGTTTTACAAGCCTGGCTTATTTGTAAGCAGACTGTTACTTGCCTCTCAGGCAGATGCACTTTGACTTTACAAGGAGACACCCCTAATTATTTAACTTTTACGATATGCCTGTTAAGACAGCAGTGAGTCTATTTTGTTTCATCCTGAAAAGCACTCGAAGAAACTAAAACATTTTAAAGTTTACTTAAACAAACAAAAAGACATTCAGTTGGCAAGACTCTTGTATTGTGGTAGTTTTACTGTATATAAATATAGTGTAATTAGCACATACCTGCAGCCAGAACTCTTCTTCTTTCTTTCATATTTTTTCCAGTGTGAACTTTTGTAAGACAATATGGCAGACCTCCCTGTACTAAAAGTGCTCTACAGTTGCCTGAAATTCAGCAAGAACAAGTGGTGAGAAAGGCCACAGGTCACCTGATTCTCATTTGACAGCTGGTTCTTTCTTCTTCTTTGCGTTCACCAGCTGTAAACTCTGGTGGAAGGTTCTGGTTGTTCGTCCACTTCTGGACTGCAGTCTGGTTTCAGAACCTGAATGTTGTGTGTGCATCCGTTTGACAGATCTGACTCATTTGTGTGCAGACTGTTTGTCCCTTGCCTCTCAGGCAGATGCACTCAGACTTTAAAAAAAAAGCTCCCAATTAGTCGACTCTTAGGACATGCTTTTGGGTAGGCAGTGGGTCTATTCTTGTTTTCCCCATAAAAGGGCCCCGGTACCCACACAGGGAAACAGCTGGTTCTCAACTTTTTTTTCTTCAACTCGTGCAGTCATTGTTTAGAATTCCTATGGCAGAACCCTTTAGGTACAGCCCACCCTACGTCTTACAGTCAACTGTGTTTAGAAGTAATTTTTAGCAGCAGAGAAGTAGTAGAAAGTAGTAGATAGTAAGGGAATGTATGGTAAAGTGAAATCTAAACAACTGTACAATGAAATTATATTTTACAAACTTTGAGATTAACCATAATAGTCAATTTATTTTCAGCTGCCACAAAACGTAGAAGCCACCATGGTGTAGAGAATAGAAGCTAGCCTGCATATCTGAAGGTTGTGGGTTAAGATCCTATTGTATGTGGTACTTGTGGTTCTTGTCTGAAGCAATTTAACTATCTAGTAAGCATATTCTTGGAGGATGGGAGATTGGAAAATAGAAACATGATGCCAACAAGCCAATGTATTTTCTACAAACTATATTGTTATTAAGATATCCAAACATAAGCATGAGCGACAAGAAACAGATTATAAACATTGTATTAATAATACTAAGACCATTTTACCAGCGCCAGACTTGGACATTATCAAGGACTGACCCACATAAATTTAACACCTGTGAAATGAGATGCCTGAGAAAAGCCACCTGTAGTTAACATCGGAGACAAAGTTGGAAATGAAATTATCAGACAGACTGTAGGAAAACACCACGCAGACAATTAATTGAGAAACAAAACATCAAATGGTCAAATGTTGAATTAAGAAGCAACATCACAGCATTTGGGACACTCCTATAAACTCTCCATCTTCAGCAGCAAGCCAAGAGTTCCAGTTCTGACAGCACCAGTAACTGTCTGATGATAAAATGGTTTGGTCATCTAGTTAGAATGCAGCCAGAACAACTACTGATGCAGGCGTTACACATAAAAAGATCTGAACTGAAAGCAAGAGGCCACCCTATATGCACATAGATTGATGACATTAAAGAGCTTCTACACTGACATGGAGCGACAACAGCCATTGCTGCCTATCAAGTAAGGGATCACAAACTGTTCCTTCCCACATGCTTAATGGTAGAAGTTGAAACTGATAATGTTGATGATGATATCTGGGATAGAATAATGCTGAATCACACAAGGGAGTGCACCAAGACCTGGTCAAGACCTCTCCATGGTCATCCCAGAAATAAGTTCTCAGCCAGGTGCGTGGCTAACATAACATCCCAGAAATAAGTTCTCAGCCAGGTGCTTGGCTAACATAACATCCCAGAAATAAGTTCTCAGCCAGGTGCGTGGCTAACATAACATCCCAGAAATAAGTTCTCAGCCAGGTGCGTGGCTAACATAACATCCCAGAAATAAGTTCTCAGCCAGGTGCATGGCTAACATAACATCCCAGAAATAAGTTCTCAGCCAGGTGCTTGGCTAACATAACATCCCAGAAATAAGTTCTCAGCCAGGTGCGTGGCTAACATAACATCCCAGAAATAAGTTCTCAGCCAGGTGCGTGGCTAACATAACATCCCAGAAATAAGTTCTCAGCCAGGTGCGTGGCTAACATAACATCCCAGAAATAAGTTCTCAGCCAGGTGCGTGGCTAACATAACATCCCAGAAATAAGTTCTCAGCCAGGTGCTTGGCTAACATAACATCCCAGAAATAAGTTCTCAGCCAGGTGCTAACATAACATCCCAGAAATATGTTCTCAGCCAGGTGCTTGGCTAACATAACATCCCAGAAATAAGTTCTCAGCCAGGTGCGTGGCTAACATAACATCCCAGAAATAAGTTCTCAGCCAGGTGCGTGGCTAACATAACATCCCAGAAATAAGTTCTCAGCCAGGTGCTTGGCTAACATAACATCCCAGAAATAAGTTCTCAGCCAGGTGCTAACATAACATCCCAGAAATAAGTTCTCAGCCAGGTGCTTGGCTAACATAACATCCCAGAAATAAGTTCTCAGCCAGGTGCGTGGCTAACATAACATCCCAGAAATAAGTTCTCAGCCAGGTGCGTGGCTAACATAACATCCCAGAAATAAGTTCTCAGCCAGGTGCTTGGCTAACATAACATCCCAGAAATAAGTTCTCAGCCAGGTGCGTGGCTAACATAACATCTTAGAAATAAGTTCTCAGCCAGGTGCTTGGCTAACATAACATCCCAGAAATAAGTTCTCAGCCAGGTGCATGGCTAACATAACATCCCAGAAATAAGTTCTCAGCCAGGTGCTAACATAACATCCCAGAAACAAGTTCTCAGCCAGGTGCGTGGCTAACATAACATCCCAGAAATAAGTTCTCAGCCAGGTGCTTGGCTAACATAACATCCCAGAAATAAGTTCTCAGCCAGGTGCTTGGCTAACATAACATCCCAGAAATAAGTTCTCAGCCAGGTGCGTGGCTAACATAACATCCCAGAAATAAGTTCTCAGCCAGGTGCGTGGCTAACATAACATCCCAGAAATAAGTTCTCAGCCAGGTGCGTGGCTAACATAACATACCAGAAATAAGTTCTCAGCCAGGTGCTAACATAACATCCCAGAAATAAGTTCTCAGCCAGGTGCTTGGCTAACATAACATCCCAGAAATAAGTTCTCAGCCAGGTGCTAACATAACATCCCAGAAATAAGTTCTCAGCCAGGTGCGTGGCTAACATAACATCCCAGAAATAAGTTCTCAGCCAGGTGCTTGGCTAACATAACATCCACATTTCTTTTCAAGTCAGAATGCCTCTGCCTGAGAGGTAAAGAAACAACAGTATGCACAAAAATAAGGCAGATGAATGAAACATATGAGCATGTGAAACTTAAGTCCTGAAACAAGACCAAAGTCCAGAAGTGGTTGAACAACCAGACATTTCTGGAGTTTACAGGTGGTGAATGGTGAAAAGTGGAAGATTATATGATATTTGACCTCAATTAGATGGAAGAAAGTATGAACACAATTTCAATGTTAAATCTAAAACTGTCTGAAAGAAATGACTATATTATGTATACAATAAGAATTAGAACAAGTACAGATTAGAGATATTCTATTTATCACAAACAGAACCCAAACAGATAATCAGAATATGTTTCATGTCAAAATTATTTTAAAACTTTACATGCACAAATAAAGTTACTAAAATAAATGCCACACTGGCAACATGAAGCCAGTTCTTTGGCTCCTTCAGTCCCAGAAAATTCATCAGTTGTTCAATGGGAGCCATAATACAAGTAACAAAAAAATAACAAGTGTATTACCTATTGCAGAAGTCAAAGACTCTTCTTCTTCTGCGTTCATCCGAAGATGTAATTGCGTTGTGTCCGTTTACAGCATGGCTGTGATATTTGCACCTTTCGGCCAAAACATCCGACTTCTGCGGGCATTAGTTGACCGGGTTAGCCTTCCTGGTTAGTTTCTGGGGACATGGCAGTCTCATTGTTGTGTGATCATCTTTATTTCCCAGGTCACAGTTGGTGCCCCAATCAGACTCATCCAGAGAGGCCACAAAATGCTGATTAGCCCTCAAGAGATGGGAGGGGCAGAACATCTGCATTCCCAGCCATCCAAGGAGGCTTCCACAAATGCAGAGCTCATACATGGTGCTCTGGTACTGGGCTCACCTAAGGAATTGTCACGTCCTGCTCATGACTGTTTAACCTCACTTCCATGTATTGAACATCTCATACATCATGGGCTATCTCTTTTGTAGCCTGCAGACCTGGGATTTTATTTACCTACACCACAAAATGAGTACTTTGCTTCTTTTGCATGTTAGACTTTTACTGCAGTGGACTTCCTCCTCCACTATAGTTTTACGTGGTTTACGAGCTCTGCATCTCTAGGGACTATCAGCTCAGAGAATCCCAGAGTTTTATTCTTCCTATACCTTCAGATATCAATGTGGAAATATTTGAAGAAATCAGCAGTTAACTTGAGGTTGTTGACATCTCCACACAGTTTATCCTTAAAAGTTGCGGGTGTTAGCCAGAATAATTTTCTCGGTTCTGCATGTATTGGACACTCTTGCAGCAAGTGTTTAGCCATCATTTTACCCTCTCCACAGTTACAATCATCATTGTCTCCTATCTTTAGTTTATTGAACAAGTGGTGTTTCAGCCTATTATGTCCTGTGCGGAGTCTAAAGATCACTACTTGTTCTCTTTGGCCAAGTTGGTAGTATGCATCATCCTTTTTGTAGCCTGGATGTTCAGAATCCCATTTGATAATATATGTACTTCTTATAAACCTCTTGGCCTCATCATATGTTATGTCTTTATCAGGCTGCGGTAGTCTTCCACCTTCATTTGCCAATCTGTCAACCTCCTAATTTCCAGGTATGTTGCAATGGGATGGAATCCATTGTATTATGACTTTTTTTTATTTCTGACTCAGCTCATGGAGTGCAGCTCTAAGGTCTGCTAGTTCTGTATCATTTTTGCTCTTCAGTGCTGAGACAACTGACTTTGCATCTGTGAAGATAGCTATGTATTTCTCTTTATTTTTCTCTGACAGAAGCATTTCTTCTGCAGTTCTCAGGGCCTCTGCCTCTGCTCTAAAATTACTTGAGACCTTTCCAGTTGTAGTCGACTGTGTCTTCTTTGATCTATTTTTCAGATTCAGGACGATTCCCCCACCTCCATTTTCTGTTGAATTTTTTGCTGATCCGTCTGTATATGCATGAG